GAGGCACTTGACACTGTATTTACAGTGCCGTCAGGATGATGAATTTATGCGGCCTGTTTTCAGCTCGCGTATTAGTTACAGAAATGTCCCTCTGCTGCGAAAATCGACCGTATTTCAATAAAATTAGCTTAATCGTTGCGATAGTTTGTATCTTCGTATAATACATTAATTTTCGCTATCTCGTCGGTAATGTGTACGTATACAATTACGACAATAGTTTCGCAGACGTTAAAGCGCGATAAAGTAGTTGACGCAGACGTCATCGACTTTTAAAATATGTATCGCAGACACACTGTTTTTTAGATTTGTGTAGAAACAAGTAACTGAATAAATAAGAAAAAAAAACGACGGCTTTTATAAAAAAATTCCAGGTGTACTAAAAATTCTGCCGAACTAAATTCTACTAAAATTATCGAATTTTAATAATTCTGTAATCGAAATCTATCGCGCACGATAAAATAAATTTTCATAAATTTTTACACCGCAAAACGCGGGCACCTCGGTGTTTTAAACCGAAACAAAAGGAGACACATAAATTTCTAGGTGAATATACATACAGTATGGTATACGTAACTCGGCGACTTGTGTAACGCTTTTGACTGCAGATATTTTATCGAAGTTCAACAAACGAGTGTTGCTTGTACGAAATCCCCGAGGAAAAATGAAAGGCGCGAACGAATGAATTATTTCCTCGTATTACGTCCTCATTGACGTTGTGCAATTTTTTGTTTAAATTACGTTCTGTCTTTTCTGGTTCTCGTTTCTAAGTGTGTGTCGGTAAAAATGTAAAAGTTATTAATTAAGTTTCTTCGATCATGTAAATTGATATCGCGTATAAAAAAATAGATTAAATACTCCCAAATTCGCGCTCAGATTGTGGAGAAAAATGGACAATTTGAGAAGAGGAGATACGATTTCAAAAATGCATTTGGCACTTCCCGGTAACTCAGGCGCCTGCTGAAGATTTCATCGAAATCTGTTCGACCTTGACACACTGGCAGCTGTAAACAATTAAATATCGCGAAGATCGCAGTTCTCCGCGAATTTCGGCCGAAAAATGTAAACGTAAACGTCCGTACCCTGAACTATAAATCGATTTCAATGAAACAATTTCAATATGTATACACGAACCACAAAAAATTACCAAAAGCATTTTCGAAATTTCCATTACATCCTCCGATAAAAAAAAATAAAATAAAAAATAAAGCAAACGCTGTCCATCCGCGACGATAAAATCGTGACGCCGAAAAACCGTCAACCGTCCCGCGTGACGGACGGCTCGTCGTTGGCGGTCGGTCAAACGCGTCTAAATTCAGCGACGTCACCATCTGACGTTCGCCGCCGCTCCAAGTCCGATAATAATTCTCGGCGCAGCGATGACGTCACCGGCGCGGCGGTCGGCCGGTGAGAAGCTGGTGCGTGCCGCTGCCAATTCTCCGATCGACTGCCGCCGCCGCGAGACCGTCGTCGCCTCTAACTGTACCGCCGGGACTCGGTGGCAGTAGTTCAAGCATCAAGGAAACACACGCGGTGTGTTTCGGCGCGCACGGCTATCTTCGACACGGCTCGGCTAAAACGAGTCCACGCTTCGGCAAGATCGTTCCGCGATCGATACACGAACGGGGGAACCGACCAACCGGGCTTCGCACGCACACGTGCCCCCCCCCCCCCTTCCGCTAATAATGAAATGCTCGGCTTATATTCGGACAATGTCGCGTTTCCAGCCGTAACAACGCGGAAGTGTCGTTTCGAGGCTTTTACGAGACGAGACCCCGTTTCGATCGCGATAAACAGCCGGGACGAGCGTAATAAATGCGAGAACGTTTCGGTTACAATTCGAATGCGGTTTCAGTGTCGGAACGAGCCGGCGTGTTGTGTTCCTACGCAAAACACGTTCGATAGATAGAACAATGCGTATTCATATCTCGCTTTATTTTTGGGATCAATGACTGAGCTGTTTCGTCGAGTGCGCAGGCACACGAGCGTTATTAGAGGAGATACGGTAAGTCATCGGCAGATGTTCCCAGCCAATATCTCTCTGCTCATTCAACGGGAAAGCTTTGTTATGAATTTTTTTCAAAATTGCTTGCGACAAAAATAGCATAAATATCGAATAGCACGTGTTAATGTATTATTTTAAAATCTTTGAAAATGATTGAAGAAAGAGCTTGTTATTTAGTTTGTATTTCTTGCGGTTCAGTTGCAATTTATTATAATCAGAGTTATTGTGACTAATTAGCTATGATTAATTAGTATTAGTTATATTTAGTTTATACTAAATACTAATATTAGTATTAGTCTTTAGTTGTTATAACTATTTCATAATAATTGGGCGAACAACAAAGTGATTAATAATTAACGATTATAAATCAGCCGAGTTTGAAGAAATTGCTGACAAATGCCAAAATATAATTATATCCCGACGTTTGTCGGAGCGATTCGTGGAAAATAGGAATGTTTGCCGAACGAATCGTTGAAAGACGATCGACGATGCTGTTCAAAGATATGCTCTCCCCCCCCTCTCCCGCCCACTTCTGTTGAAATTCATTTTCCTCTTGCATATGAAACGCGTCGGACTTATACTTTTATTATTTTATATTTAATGTATTTATATCTTTATTATTTTATTATCAAATATTTTCATCCGACCAGAAAATGCAATCAAAATTGTACAAAAATCGTAATAAACACAATCTCCAAAAAAACTTGAACGATTCACGCAATTTTCATCATTGCATTCTCCGTATTTCCAATTTAAATAATCGATGCTCCGATAAATGAACAGACGATAAAAAGAAAAAAAGAAAGAACCCGAACGAGCGCAGATTCCTTCGTAAGATAAAAAAGAGTTTTCGGAAAACGTCTGTCTTTAATAATTGTCTGCATTACCGACACGAAGTATCATCGACCACGGGCGTCCTCCGGAGAAGAGGCGGCGGCACACAGTTCGAGCAATCAGCAGCAGAGATCGCTATCATACGGGACCGCCGATTACTCCGTCGGGCAAATGGAGTATGTTAATTGCGATAAAGAGTCGGTCACGTGCCCGCGCGCTCGTACCGAACACGAGCGCCGCCCCGGCTAGAAAGTGAAAATTGCTTCTCAAGTGTTTGAATACGCTCTCTCGCACGCATTCCTTTCCCACATTACCGCGGGGCGAACGAGATTACCGATCGCGGCGTCGTGATTTACGACAACGTCAATTATTTTAGCGTAATTATTTTGCTGTACCGTTGTGAAAACCGCTTACGATCTAATTGTTCTAATGCGGCCGACGATTAATTATTATTGATGGTTCCGCATGAAACGATTATTTCGCTCGATAAGGAGTAAATGCTGCAATAAGTAGGCTGCGCATTTTTTTAGCGAAATGAAAACCTTTCAACTGAATTGTAAAATAATATAAAAATGCTCTTTTCTTTTTAATAATAATAATTATTATTATTATTATTATAATTTTTATAAACCGAGGAAAGGATAGCAACGTTATTACACATTTTCGAGTGCCCTTACATTTCGCTACTTTTCTTTTTTTTAATCATTTTTTTATCAGAAAAGCATAAAATCCACGATCTTGCAATAATCTCGCGTTATCGCGTATTAAGAACGCGTTTCCGGCAAGTGTTCGTAAGAATTTTCCTTGTTGAAACAGACTTGGTGCTTCAACAATTAGCAGCCGATATGCACAGACGGTAATTTTAATTAGACGTGTGTGTACCCGTGATAATAGCTGAATTTATTCTGATTACATCTGCTTGGAAATGATTTTCTGCGATTACGTCTGCTTGGCAAACAATACCGTTCGCCAGCTTTCCGTCGAACAATTATTTTCTATTTTCCTGGAATCAACTATGCCTTCGGAAAAACGAAAACGAATGCGTGTCTATGTCTACATCGTCATCATCATTATCATAATAATAATAATCATCATCATGACCATAATAATCATAATAATAATCATCATCATCATAATCATCATTACCACCACCATTATCATAATCATTACCATAATAATAATAATAATAATAATAGCAATCATAATAATAATCATCATCTTCATCATCATCATTATTATATCGCGTGAAAACCAAGAAGATTTTCCGCAGCGATGTTTACCGAAAACTAAGTACAGTAATTCTCCCTAATTGACGCTCAGATTGAGCACAAAAATAAACAATTTAAAAAGCGAAGACACGATTATTCTATCCTTGTATCTGGTTTTTGTAACAATCGGTTAACAATCGGTGACTATAAAATATATATAATAATAATTAAAATGAAATCAAAAATAACAATTAAAATTTTTTAAGTAAATAAAATATAAATAATCGTATTTCCTCCACCTAAATTGTCTATTTTTCTTTGCAAGCTGAGCCTCGATTAGGGAGAATTTACCGGTTGAATCACTTATTTGTCTTCCGACTGTCTTTCAGCCCCTACGTATAGGTTATGTATCTCGAACTTAAGTATCAACGCGAAGCCTAAAGTGAAGCCGCATCGGTAAGTGTGTGTAATACCCGATCAACGACACTATACTTTATATTCAATTAGATAAGAAACGAGCTCTCTTTCTCAGTGGAATCTCAATAATTCTAAAAAATGATTCTTATTTCATCAAATATCCTTGTAAGATAAAAATTGATGTCATATATGCCGTAAAAGATTGCTTCGCAATTTTTATTCAATCAAATGGAATATTTTAATTTTATGAAATTTTTCAGGCTTCTGTCGCGAAAGCGTTAACATATCGTTTAACCCTTTGAATGTCATTATAATATCTTCCTTGCTTCCAAAGGTATACTATATTTATACAGTACTATTTATATAGTAGTATTTATATAGTAGTATATATTTATATACTAGTATTTATATAGTACTATTTATATAGTAGCATATTTATATAGCACTATATTTATATAATAGTATATTTATATAGTACTATTATATAGTAGCATATTTATACAGTACTATTTATATAATAGCATATTTATACATTACAGCATCTCTATAAGTGCGCATTTTCGCGACAAAGCGGCGCCGACCAACAGGCACGTAACGTCCGGAACGAAGTGCAAAGGGGTTACACTACATGCATCACAGAGCTTCAACCCGCTCTTTCGTTCGAAAAGCGATCTCCCCACTGCTGACTTCCCCCCAGCGAGCAGAAGTTGAGCACCGCTGGCGTGGAAGAAGACGGCCGTATTGTCCGTGTCGGCCGGCCCCCGCCGACAGGCCATTGACAACAGTTAAATAGTGTGTGCCATATTCCCGTTGCAAAATCAATACTAGTCGCAGATTTGTTAAATTCAATTTCATATCTTCATCGAGAGTTTGTACTCGTCAATGGTAAGCCGGGTAGGGGAATCAAAGCATAAAAGGTTCCTCGCGCGTTCGCTTTGCGATACGGCAATCCCAGAATCCAATTGCGCCGGCCGATCGTGGCGTGGTGTGGCGGTATCGACCGTGTGTACCAGCGTCGCGCGGGACTCTCGTACGCCTACTAACCGGCTCGAAAGCATCCGCCTGTCTCCTTTCGTCCGCCGTCGGAGCGCGCGTTCGGGCGGCGCGCGCGTCTCTCCCTCTGTCGGCGCGGAAAGGTGTGTCGTGTCTCGCTGAAAAGCCCGGCGGTGCCCGACGCGCGTTACGTCAAGACGCCGCATCTAAGGATTCCAGGGATTACCGGAAGCTTGAAAGATACCTCTCTGCACACGCGGCCCCCGTGTCACGTAGGACGCCGACGAAACTCTCTCTCTCGCGGTCGAGTGTTGACACGCGACCGGCCGACTCACGTTGTCACGTGCATACGAAAGCGCACACGCGCTCACGTGTCGAACCGCTACGCGCGGCCGACGTCACCGGTTAAGCGTACGAACGGCTCGATTGTGCACAGACGACGGATTTATACGAGATTTGCGAAATATATAGCGCGTTATAATTAGAGCGGCGAGGATACCGTGGGCAGGGCCCAGGATTGCAGAGCGTGCAGCAAGGTTGGCTCGACATAACCTCGTTTACAGTCGCACTCTGTAAGGACTCGCAGTCCATTTCCGGAATTAGGTTTCAACAAAGAAAATTTTTTCAAAAGCGTAGTAGTAGTAGTACCTACGCAGCCCTTTCCACACGTTAAATCCAAATTTCCCCTGCGCGCATTAAAAACCCTCTCCCCTTTATTCCACGACGTTCCAAATATAGGACACGACAAGACGTTACCGTTCCCACAATTCACTGTTCTATCGTTCAACCCCCCCCCCCACGATTCTTTCCACCGATTCGAATTTCAAATGTTCTCGCCGACAGTTAAACTTACAGCGAGCCCATCAAGATTCGCCGATAGGTGGCACAGGTGCAAAAAGAAAAAAGTCTTCCATCGAAGATCGCCGAAACGGATAAACGTTTCCGGGAACGATTCCCGAGATAGCAGGTGGCCGGCTCTGGGTGGGGTCACATCGCCGTACCGGAACGGAACGGAATGTTCGCTCTGTTGATCGATAAGAGAGGGCCGGGGATTAATTCGAGGCGATTCGCCGGCGATAGATCAGCGGGGATAAAGGTATCGCTGCGCGGGTCATAATGGTCCCGGCTGCATGAATGGAGAAAGGTGAACGCGTGTTCATCAAGGACGGGGAGGGGGCTTGGTGTAACGGGGACGGACGACTCTGTGTCGGAAGGCGAAACGCGCAACAGCTGATTCCTCGTCGACGATGACAGATCAATGAAAACATGGGCCAGATGTTCGCGATGCTTGTCTGCCGACGCGGCGACCGATCGCGCGCGCGAGTACGCTAAAGAGAGCACTGCTGAGAAAAGAGCACACGCGACCGCTTCGCACTGCGCGAGAAGCGCGCGATCTTCCCTGCGAGATGTACGCGACTCCGAGGTCGACACACCGTGTGCACTGCTGCGCGGCTGGACGACGCTGCGCGCCGTCCCCATGCGCACCTGATACGCGCGCGGTCGAATAAAATGGCGCAACGCGATCGCGCCTGTATCCATGGTTACGTGCGCGCTCGGACACGGCAGCGCCGGCGGAACGGCGGACGACGCTGTCGGAGGGACTCTAGGACACGGTCCTCGGCGCGCGGTCTATTTTCCGCCCTCTGTTTAGAGTTTAGACAGTCCCGGGACACGTGCTCGACATCTGGATGATGCACCGCAATCGCGGCGAACACGCTTAAAATAGAGAAGATTCTCGAAGAATCTCGGGGAACCTCGACACCAGTGGGTTAGTACGGCACCTTTTTTTCTACCCGGGCAGAACGAGTTGTTAATCGGAACGCCGGGATCGCCGAATGTACATGGAGATTCCGAATTATATTATTATTATATATATTATTAATATAATAATATTAATATTAATAATATTTATAAATAAATATAAAATATAATAATAAATATAATAATATTTATAAATATTAATAATATTAATATAATATATAATATTATTAATATTACTTAAATTATATTATTGTATATTTATTTCGTAAATATACATAGAACACTCGATACGTTTCTTCGCTGGCCGTCGTTAAATTCGCCAATCCGAAACGAGTCGTCATTTTTGTTCTGGGATAGTTCGAAAGAGCGTGATTCGACTAGGTTATGTATATAGTTCGCATTAATACAGTGGTCGGCGAGAGAGAAAGAGAGAGAGAGAATGGTATCGATTGGCCTGAAAATGGTCGAAGGGAAAGGGCGCGACGCAAAATTCCACGGTGTCACTGCTGTTCGCACGCTCTGCTTTACTAACCGAGAGCCACAGTTATTTCGAGGCTGGTGGCGCCACCGGCCGCTAGAAAGTGGCGCCGCGTCCGGCGGCCGTCGCTTAATGAGCCATCGATATAACGTACGTGGGCGCAATATCGCCTCTACGCGTCGCTCCTTCTTAGGCGTCGTTTTCCTTTCTCTTCGAACGGCCGACCGGGGATATAACCGATCGAGTTCTCGTGAATGTATATATATATATTATTTTCCATAGAGATGTTGAGTACTGTTAATGAGGCTTTCGATAATTGTAAAAATAATAACGATTCAATTTGCTGGACTTAGAATAAAAATCAACTCTCGGCCTCGATGAATCATTTTAATCGTTTGCACTGTTTTCTATGATGTGTCGAGCGTGGGGCATTAATAATATAATATAATAATATAAGATATAACAATATAATATATAGCAATATAATATATAATAATATAATATATAGCAATATATACTCGAATAATTCATTTCTTCGGAGTTCTCCAAAGTTGGATTCCTTTACCAAATATTATTTCGTCACCAAATACATTAGGAGTCGCCTAATGAAACGAACTTTCCAATTTCTGTACCATATATGAAACATCGACGATTGGGAGGGTTGTGACCAATGGGAGAGCGAGTGCGGCCGGCACTCCGCCCTTGCGGCGAATGCCGCGTCGCGCCGGTCGTCCGACGCAGCGGCAGTGGTCGCGAGGGCGGGGCGTCAGCCGTACGCGATCTCTCATTGGTCCAGTGTTTTTCGTTAATAACTCGTGAACGAAGCCTCGGAGAAAAATTTTGTAAAGGAGAAAGTTACTTCAAATGACCTCGGGAACCTCTCGTTTCTCGCTTGTACAATAATTTTGGGTACGATCAATCTAGGCGGCATCTGTATAATTTCAAGAAAAATTGAAGTTTTTCGGGGGAAAATCCGATCGGCGTCCATCATCGGAATAACCGATCTAACGGCGAGAAGACACAACCCTGCACACGGATATCTACGTGATCAACCGAGACTGTCCCTCCGAATCGGATCACGGCCGGTTTTCCAGCGGCGTCTAGATGGTTCGGTCAACTTTGACTTTGACACAGTGAGTTACAACCAAGGCCGGGGCACGCGCGCGCTGTCAGAAATAGAAGAGCGAGCGCGCGCGGGACAACGGTGTGTCCCCGAGGCGGTAGCTGCCTCTCGCAGCCCCGACGTAACTTCCGTTACACCGTCAAATCGAATCCCGCGCAAAGTGCCGCGCGCTTCTGACCCGGAAATTGCTCGCGGAACTTTAATGGCCGCCATTTAGAACCGCGCCGCGGCTGAGATATCGGCTCCTTCGTAGCTGCAATCCTTTCGCGCTCTTAAAGTGTCCGCGGGCTTAAAAGCTCCGGGAAGATCTACACAGGCTGTCCCGAAAATGTCTCGCAATCCGGAAATGGGAGGTTCCTGAGGTGATTCGAAGCAACTTCTTCCTTTGCGAAAATTTTCTCCGAGGCTTCGTTTACGAGTTATCAACGAAAAACACTGACCAATAAGAGGCGAGCTCGGCTGGCGCGCGGCGGCCCGGCCAACGAGCGCGCGGAGCCCGGTTCCGCTCATTGGCTCGGCCGTCTCGCGCCAAACGATCTCGCCTTTGATTGGTCACGGTTTTTCGTTAATAACTCGTAAACGAAGCCGCGGATCGCATTTTCGCTAAGGAAAAAGTTGCTTCAAATCACCTCCGGAATCCCCTACTTTCGGATTGCAAGATATTTTCGGGACACCCTGTATTTCGTGCTTTTCTTCGGTCTACCGGGTGGTCTAGTAAAAAAGAAACATCCTTACACGTTCGTGAAGATTTAAGCTCAGCTTATCCAGACGCATACGCATACTAAAAAGCGACGTAAAATGGCAATAAGTAATTTCAAGATTATTAGATTCACGGACAATGTAAATAAATTTTGTGTGTGTGCAATTACGTCGCTATTATGTCGCGAGAGATGTAGAACGTAGGTAGAGAGAGGCATCGTCGAGGACCGAGATCAATAAGAAGCTAACTGCGGACGAGTTCAGGACGCAATGACTACGCCCAATTTATTCCTCTGGCAGAGAGAGAGCGCGGAACACGTGGGAGCGTGGCTTTTTTTCCTGAATCCGAGTCGCCGCGACATCCGCGCTCGGTTATAAGGAATTGCGGTGGTCAATAAATGGTTAACCGAATCACCTTCTAATTAGCTTAATAAACGTGTCGTGCGAGCCGCATTAATTATGGAAGTGGCTGCAACGTGGCCGACCGCTGGCCGCGGCCGCATCATTAAAAATCCTAAGGTCAAACGCTCGTCCAATGGGGCCCGCCTCTAACGGCGGCAGAATGCGTCACCCGGCGGCGGACAGTGGCGCGGGAGGTGGGGGCTCGCGCGCCGCTTACGGCGCTGCTGCGGTCTCTCGGCTCGCTACTGTCCAAGGCAAATAGGGGTTAACAAAACAGAGCCGCGGAGTACGCAGATAAAATGCGGCGTCGGACAGTAGCAGCAGCGAACACAGTTAATATCGCCGAAGTGACAGTAACGAAAGTCAAACAAGCGGCGGTGCGCGATGTGTGTGTGTGTGTGTATGTGTGCAGAGCAAACAGGGGATTTTCATTCGAAACGGAAAACGCCGAGCCGTATTTGATGCGTGCGTTGTCATCGTCCGATGTTTATTGAGAAGTCGCCTGTCGCTTTTCAAGGCGACGCGCGCTTCGCACAGTCGCATGGCCGAGGCAACGCTGCGCCTCGCCCGAGGAACACGGAAACGAACGATTCGATTCTCGGCAACTGCCGAAAAAAGACCTCTAGGATAACTGACGATATACAGGGTGTCCCAAAAATGTCTCGCAATCCGAAAGTGGCGGGTTCCTCTGGTCATTCGAAGCAACTTTTTCCTTTACAAAAATTTTCTCCGAGGCACCGTTGACGAGTTATTAACGAAAAACAGTGACCAATGAGAGGCGAGCTTGGCTGGCGCGAGGCGACCGAGCCAATGAGCGGAACCGGGCTTCGCGCGCTGGTTGGCTGGGCCGCCTCGCGTCGGCCGTACTCGATTCTTATTGGTCACGGTTTTTCGTTGATAACTCGTTAACGGTGCCCCGGAGAACATTTTTGTAAAGGAAGAAGTTGCTTCAAATGACCCGAGGAACCCGCCACTTTCGAATTGCGAGACATTTTTGGGACACCTTGTATATATCCCCGCCAACGGGGGAATCCTCTTCGCGACCCGGTGAAGCGTTAAACGGGCGCGACGGCCGAGCCAGCGAAGGTGAGATTGCAACACTCGTGGAAGCGAAGCGAGACAATGCGTAGTTTTGTCACTGTTGAGTCTTTTGGTGTGGAAATTTTACCGTCGCGTATTGTCTACTCTTGCTGAATTAACGCGAAAGGGTTACGTACCGACGATGATACGTCGCTATTGATTGATACGCTTGAGAAAATGTTTTTCTGGCATTTTTAATGAACAACAGTTCATATATATTAATATATAAAATAATATAATATTATATATTATGTTATATATTATATATACAGGATGTCCCGAAAATGTCTCGTAATCCGGAAATGGGAGGTTCCTGAGGTGATTCGTAGCAACTTCTGATCAGCGAAACGAGGCTAACACGACGCTAAAAGTTACATTAACGAAAATCAAAATAACGAAATAAATGAACTTTTGAATTAAGAAGTCCCGAGGAGTTCGCGCGAGTCCTTCAATTTCCGGCTCGACCTTCGGGCCTTGTTTACACACGGAACGCCACGAAGAAAAAAAAAATGTAACGTAATACGCACTAGTGCCCCCCTCCCCCACCCACAAGCGTCCACATTTTCGCTCGAAGCGAGAAGCGAGCCACCGCAGCCACACAGATCCTCAACTTCTCCGTTCAGCCAACTTCCAAGAATACGAAAAGCCGCGCACAGGCGTCCGCATTCGACGCGCATTTATTTGCGCGCTGCTCCGCTATAACTGTCACTCGACAGACCCGGATTCGGGACAGTAATCGAGGGAGCAGATCGATCGAGGAGAAAACAAGGGGCGCCGGATTTGCGGTCGGTTAATTCACGGCATCGATCCGTCCGAAATAATGCGCGACGAGTGCCGCGGACCGTCGCGCCCCACCCCCGCGCACGCCGCCGCGCGGCGGGGGTGGGGCGCGGGCGTCAAAGAATAACCGCAGGAGCCGACACGCTGTCCAAGAGAGGAGCAGCAGCTTCGCGAGCCTCCCTTTATCACTCCAGGCCATTATCGTCGTTGGCCATCCTTTGTCTACCTTCCACTACGCTCGCCGGGCGTTTCCGGGGTCACAGAGACGCTGCTCTCTGCTCTCCCCAACACCTTTCCCCGCCGACTTTCCACGGGGTGGGGGAAGGGGAGTTCCTCGAGTGCGGCCACGTCTGCGGAAAAGTCAGCGACAAAGCGTGCCAGCTATCACGTTCGACGCGGGGAACGGGGAGAGAGAGAGAGAGAGAGAGAGAGAGAGAGAATTTCAGAGAGAAATTGAGCTTGAGAGAGAGAGAAAAAGAGAGAGAAATTGAGCTTGGGAGAGAGAGAATTTCAGAGAGAGAGAGAGAGAGAGAAATTGAGCTTGAGAGAGGGAGAGAGAAATTGAACTTGGGGGAGAGAGAGTTTCAGAGAGAAATTGAGCTTGAGAGAGAGAGAGAGAGAGAGAGAGAGAGAGAGAGAGAGAGAGAGAGAGAGTCAACGCGCTCTCATCTCTCGTCGACGCCGTTCGCGCAACGTCGCGGCTGACCTTGGGCCAGCCAGAAAAACAACCCGTGGTTCGTGATGGTTCCTTGGCCTGCTACCAGAATCCGCGTTATTAATTTCCGAAAATACGACGCTGATTCGCGTTCATTATCCTTTAGATGTGGAGCGCGACTGTTACCTCCCCCGTCCCCCCCACTCCTCGAGTGGGTCGTCGAGGACGCTGCTGTTGCTTGGTTGCTTGAGGAAACCGTGAGAGAGCACTTCCGCTCTGAAGACAGCGTCCGGAGACCCTCGAGACGTACCCGACACGTTTTATAGTAATGTCTCCCTTACTGACGCTCGGATTGTCCACTGATAATGGACAATTTGGGAAGAGGAGTTACGATTATTCGAGCCTCGCGGGGCTCGTTTTTATAATTGTGGACAATTTATAACTATAAAAATAAAGCGCGAGGCTATCGAATAATCGTGTCTCGTCTTCCCGAATTGTCCATTTTTGTGCGCAATCTGGGCGTCAATTAGAGAGACATTACTGTACTCGGAAAAATCAAGCCGCGGCTCCGGTGAATTAAAAATTCTTGGCACGATCGGGGAACTTGCTCCGTTCACGAGACATTGTTTTTAAAAGAAATGATGTTTAAACGGTTGTGCAAGAGCCTGGCTTGCGAAATGACAAATCGCGGCTTTATTTCCGTGCGAGATGACAATTTCAGAATTCAGAGCGGACACCGCGTTCGATTAAAATTGGGGATGACGTTGTTTTTGTTTTTTTAGTAGGGAAATTTAAGATAAAATTAATTTTATATATATATTTTAATTAATCTATTTATTTTTTACTAACTTATTAACTTTTATTCAATTGAATTTTTGTTAAGATTTACTACACTTCACTTTTGTCGGTGAGTGTATGTGTGTGCTCAGTTAGAATAGCCATCTATCCTAAACAATCTAACCGTGTATATTCTACCAAATAATAATAATAATAATAATATTATTATTATTATTATTATTATTATAAGTTCTCTAAACTTTCTATCTCGAAACGCATCAAACTGCGTAGATGGATAATAAATAACCCTTCATCAAAGAATCCAATTCGCTCGCAATTTTAATTTCTGAAAATAGACTTTTTGCGCGATCCCAGAATCTCCTGCTTTCGACGCGCTCGCGTGTCGCGCGCAGCCGGATCGAAACCGTTTTATCCCTCTCGGTTAATTAGTTTATCGACTGCAGCACTCGAGCGATCGCTCATAAAAATTCATTATATAACGGCGTGTGTAGTGTGGCGCAGATAAAAACTGCTTTTTCTGCGTAAGCTGGTTACGCGCGCGCGCGTCGAACGATTACGACGTTCGGCCGCGAGGCTTCGATCGCGATTACGTCGCGCGGCCGGCCGCTCTCGCGATTCGATTCCATTCGATTCGATTCGATCCGCGAGCGCGCTCGCGTCGCGTATTAATTGCCGCCGGGAAGGCCGGGTCGAAAGCGGCGAATATTTAAACTCGTTCCGAGGCGTCGCGAACCGAACGCGTACCCCGTCTCCCCTCCCCGCCACTCCGCGCCAGTCCACTCCACTCCACTCCACTCCCCACTCCCCACTCCGCGCGCTAAGCCGCTTCTCGATCGTAGACTGCACTCGCGGAATGCGTGACGGAAATCGAGGACTTTGGGCAGAGAGAACACTTCGACCGGTGGGAATATGCAAACCGAGAAAAGAAATTTCGAGGAAACCTCAAGGCCGCGAGCGCGCTTTGTAACCGCTCTCTCGGATATCATCTCTCAGCGGCAGGCCTTTTGTTGCCCGACAATGCAACACATACCGCGAATAAACTCAATTTCCGATGAGTCAGGTGCCGGGATGCGACTTCTTTCGCCTTGAGACAAAGAGGCGGCGCGCGGCACTGCCGTCGCCTAATGAGACAGCTTGGCGATCTCGTTTCTGCTTCGGATAAAAGATCTGCGATTCTTTCGATGAATCGGGTGAATCGTAATTTTACTTTCTCGTTGGTGATCAAAGGAAATTCAAGTTGACCGAGAATGATTGAAAAAGGATTAATAATTCCCGAACTAATTCATTTTCGATCTAGGAACCGTAATAAATACTTCCCAGTAAAATACACAAATTTATTTTAAAAAATTCAAATTATTTTATTTCTATTATCAATTTCTTGAACCACGATTTTCCTTCACAGCTGAATAGCATTTCTTCGTTCTTAATCGTTAGCCTGACAGAACGAGACAAAATTTTTGTTTCTAATATACCCTAATTTCCTTTCACCCATAGACCTCGACGAAGAGAAGAATCACACATTTTATTCCGACTTACACTAAAACATTACTGTAACGTGTGTGAGCGTTCAACGCTCGTATCGAATTTCACAACAAACCACGACGTTTCATACATTTCCGACGACCTGGCAAGCGAACGTTTCCGCCACGAAAGTTGCTCAGCATTCGCTTCACTATAAATCATAATATAAAAATACGCAGGAAAACGTTCTTCCCGCAAAGAAACATCGGTCACCTCGATTTTTATAAATATTAATACACATTTTTCATTTTTGGTTAATATTCTAACTGGCATCGAGACGAATTCAACGGCCACCCATAACCTTAAACCTTGAAACAACGCTGAAATAATTCACAAACCCCCGCAAGCGAACTGCCGGGTCGCCCTCCTCCCCCACTCCGCGCGGCGAAGGAAAGGAAAAACGGCGAGCGTCGCGCGAGCGACGGGAGAAGCGTGCACTCGAGGGAAGGGGGGGGGGAGAGCTCGCTCGCCGCTAACGAAGTAAAGTGACGAGAATTTGACACAGTGAACTCTCTTTATGCCATCAAGTCGCGCGAGCCGGGCGGGAAAATTCAGCGTTTGGCTCGCGGTCAAGACTGAAAACGGCGGCGCGGAAACGTTTCGGGCGCGTCCGTGTTTCCGAAATTAATTCGGAAGCGCAGTTTCCAGGAAGCATCGGCCAAGTGTCGCCGGGCTCGGGGCATCGACGGGAGAAATAAAGGCGGCGGTCCTTCCGCGGTCCTCGGAGATAAGTCCGCGCGATAAGGGGGGCCCCGTTTTACGCGCGACGAATCGGCCGCGATGAATATTTATGCGGTCTGGGATACGTGGCCGGACCGATAAATGCGCCGGCTAATGGCGGGAGAGGGCTTCGATAAAAGCGTTCGCGGCGCAACCTGCGACGCTTTAGAAATATGGGACTGCGTCTATGGTGGGGGGCGCGCCGCCGTCGGCGCTATGGTGGGGGACGTCGTAACTTCGACTGTGCCGCGGCCCGCTTAAAAATGTACGGGGCGCGCCTGTAGTCCTCGGGATTACTCGGATTTACTTCGAAGCGACGCCGAAGTTTTTTCTTCTTTTCCTTTTTTTTCTAAAAGGAACCTACGGGTCTAGGCGGCGCAGCCGGTCGACTCTTATCGACCGCGAAAGAAAATTGGAGTGCATCGGATTTATTACATTCGGTTAGCCTAGATCTACGTAGCGATCTGATCGTATTTTTAGAGATAAATTGGGACGTTCTTGGGTATAAAGAGGAACCAACCGCGTGTCACGATGGAACAGCGTCGCAGAATTTCTAAAGGTAAAATTCTCGTTCCTACACGGCGACCGAGAAATTTTCTCCCGTGCTGGAATTTTGTTATTAAAAACGGAATCGACGCAGTAACGTCTCCATTCGTTGTAGCAAAACACCATAATTTTCTCGGGTACGTATAACGTTAAAATTATCAAATAAATAAAATTTAATAAATAAAAGCTGCTGAGGGAGCTTAATAAATTTTTGTCGACGAATTTTAATTTTACGAGGGAATTGACGGTGATGGTTTATTTAGAGATTTATTTCCTCGTCTGTTAGACCAAAAAAAAAAAAATGTTCCGTTGACTTTTTTCAACGAAGCAAAGATTTTTAGCTATTAGAAGAAACTCGTAATTATTATATGCATTTAGAAAATAATATTGAAAAGTTATTAACGATCTGAAATTAATTGAACTTTTAAGATAAATTCAACTCAACGTCACTTTTATTAATAAACTAAGACTATATAGTGATGTACACTGAAAAGTGCAGCTAAAAAGCATCACTGTATTGCTATAAATCGTCAGAGTTTAATTGTAGAAATGTCTAAGGTTAAATTAGGCATTTAAATAGGTTAAATAGGTTTCTTTTATATAATTTCTTGAATTTATTAGGACTGTTTTTCTTTTTCAGCGCTAATATCTTCTATAGATAATGTGAGTGCGGATGATTCTAGAATGGATGAAGTCTAGAATAATAATAGAAATTTCTCATTCTTAATTTCTTCAAATCTGCATGACGCATTAAGTTGCGAACAAGCTTCTTTTATACATATTTCTCTTTAAGTAATTAATGTAATCGGAACATTTAACTGTTTTGCATTTAACAACGTACTTATCTTGAATACACGAACAGAAATGCCAAGGCTTATTCGCAGCTGCACGGTCGATACAATTTCATGAAAATAATATTCAAGTGTACATTGTTCATGTACAATAAATAATATATATTTATTATTTAATATAATATAATATTATTTATCATTTACTATGATATATTATTTATTATTTAATATGATATGATATTATATATATATATATATTTACTATTTAATATAATATAATATTATTTATCATTTAATATGATATGATATTATTTCTTATTTAATATAATACAATATTATTCATTATTATAATATTTATTTAAATTAAGTATTTCAGGCTCACATTATAAACCACATATCTCAAACTATTTAACCCAGTGCCTCATTTAACACAGAAAAATAATATTTACAAATATTTTATATTTCCGAGTCATTTTTACCGAAGCCAGAACGAAGCCCGCGCGAAACTCAAAACACCGAAAGGCTTCCGAGCCGAAGGGAGCCTGCCTCTCTTCCCGAAATTCGATTACTGAAACATGAACTCCGCCGCGGAATCTAATTTGCGAAGGCAACCGCATGTCATTAGCGGTGGATCTGCCGTGATAAATGGCTCGCGCAGGTTCGTGGAAACGTGAAACCGGAGGAAATGGTAATGCGCCGGCAATTTGCCGAGTTTTTAAGGCGTTTAATTAGAATTTAATTGCGGACACTTAGCCCGGCGGCGGGCCGATCCGAGCCCCGTTTCGATTCTTCCGAGAAGGATATTACAGGGTGCCCAGAAAATGTCCCGCAATCCGGAAATGGCGGGTTCCTCGGATCATTTGAAGCAACTTCTTCCTTTACAAAAATGTTCTCCGACGCACCGTTAACGAGTTATTAACGAAAAAGCAGCGACCAATAAGAATCGAGTACGGCTGACGCGCGGCGGCCCAGCCAACCGTCGCGCGAAGCCCAGTTCCGCTCATTGGCTCGGTCGCCTCGCGCCAGCCGAGCTCGCCTCTCATTGGCCGCTGTTTCTCGTTAATAACTCGTTAACGGTGCCTCGGAGAAAATTTTTGTAAAGGAAAAAGTTGCTTCGAATGACCCGAGGAACCCGTCACTTTCGGATTGCGAGACATTTTCGGGACACCCTGTACACAACACCAGCACCACCGTGCGGAGATTCCATTTCCGTAGGGAGATGTCTCTCTGCGCGGAGGGTCGCGCAGCTACCGAAGAAATTCGACGACGAAAATGTAACGGGCGATCTTCGATCGGCGTGAACTTGGCCATTCGAGGTCACAGCCACGCCGTCGCAAGGATAATCGATCCTTGGCCGACGGGGGAGGAGCGGCCGCGCACCGTCACATTGTCTCCGTTCTGCCTGGCAACCGCGAGATATCGATACGTAATTGCCGCGCGGTCGGTCATCGGGCGCGATTATTTATAAATCGGATCTGTCGGCGTTATTCTCGTCAAGCGAAACGGTACCCGCGTCGTCGAGCACCGTTTCCCCGGGTACCCTTAATCGTTATTTAACGAGCCGCGTTCCCGAGCAGGCCACCGGAGACTTTTCGTTCATTCGTCGGCCGAACCGCGCGTCGATCGGAACACGGTTATGTACTCACTTCGGTCCGCTCCGTCGCTCGGCATCGCGGCGAAAAGCAGCGACCAATAAGAATCGAGTACGGCTGACGCGAGGCGGCCCAGCCAACCAGCGCGCGAATCCCAGCTCCGCACATTGGCGCGGTCGCCTCGCGCCAGCCGAGCTCGCCTCTCATTGGTCACTGTTTTTTGTTAATAACTCGTTAACGGTGCCTCGGAGAAAATTTTTGTAAAGGAAAAAGTTGCTTCGAATGATCCGAGGAACCCGCCACTTTCGGATTGCGAGACATTTTTGGGACACCCTGTATATAGGATACGACAATCTTAATTTAAGTTACTGTTATCTAACGATAAATATTGCCTCCTAATGTCAAAAAAGGAAGCAAAGGAAAAAAGTTAATTAAGTTCGTCGGGACATTGAAAAGAAGCATATTTTTGGCGTCGAATGTAGCGTTCGAAATGTTCAACTATAAATTGTCGTATCTGTTACAATTTACGATCATTTTTATTAATATTTCCACTTTCGAGGGTAATGGACATTTAACAAGCGATAAAAATTGACTGGACATCGATATGAGAGAATCAGGTTTTTGTCAATAAGTCACTAATATCTTCGATCCGGCGCACTGTGCGCCGGTCGCGGGCCACGCTAGAGCCTCCGGATCGCCGAGATTACCGGCGGCGTGGAGGGTGGGGGGAGAGAACAATTGAGTCGTGAAATTTGCGTGTCGCGAGCGGTTTAATATCACGCGGGCATATTGACCCAGATCGCAGCACGTGAGCAGGTAACGTGATCGACCTTCTTCTTCCAGCGCGAACGGCCGAGCGAGCCTCGACCGGAGGCTGCGCCGTCTTCCGTCGGCGACGGAACACGACCGACGAGCGATCCGGGTACCGGATCGCTCTTTTTAAGAAGTTTTTGAATAATATACGCGCGCTGCGCTGCGAAACTGGGTCGGGCTGCGTCGTCGCGGCGATTCGCGACGGAAAGAGGGCTCGAGAGAAGAGCGAAGACGGCGGAGAGGATTTCTAAGATGTTCTCGAATATTTCGAAATCGATGTAGAACGACGTTGAATCGGTAGTTAATTACACGGAAAGGCTTGTCATTTATTGGGAATCTCACGATTTTTTAGAATTTTTGTGTAATATTTGACTGTCGCGTTATCCATATGCGGATAATATTATTGTATATTTAATATTAATTATATATATTAATATATAATATTAAATATAAATATATATTAAATATATAATATTAATTATATATTAATATTAAATATATAATATTAATTATATATTAATATTAAATGTATAATATTAATTATATACTATTTCTAGAGTGATGTGCAAACGTGACTGTAACACACGTTCAAAACACAACCACTTTTTAAAAACTGAATCGAACGATTTCAATTCTTCCGAAATTTCAGACCGACAAAATATCAAATATTTAGATTGTATAAAACTTTCGAGATATGGCATAAAAAAAATATATAAATACTGTAATATATATAATATATATGATATTAATATAAATAGTATAATATAATATTAACATAATATATATTGTATAATATATAATATACATATATTAATTTTATATATTTTATTTATAATTATATATTTTACTATAATATATATTAATATTATATATATTTATTTAATTAGATATAACATAATATCAATATAATATATAATAATTAATATAATATAACATTATAAAATAATATACAATTTTATATATTTTATTTATAATATATATTATACTATATTTATAATTATACATTTTACTATAATATATATTAATATTACATACATTTATTTAATTAAACATAACATAATATCAATATAATATATAATAATGAATACAATATAACATTATAAAATAACATAAATATGTTTACGAAAATTTCCAGTGTCACGAAGAAGAATCGAAGGTTCAAGGACTCGCCCAACACGCCTTCGGCGACACTAATTACCGCGGTCACGCCCGATGCCGCGACGGTTTCGGGTCGCGTCTAATACGAAGCTTCTCATTAAGTCAGCGCGTGGAAGACGACATCGTGCGACTGGCAGCATGAGAGGACGTCGACGGCTCGCCGACGAAAAACTTCCTCGATTTATTTGGCTTTTGTTTGCAGCGAACGTTCGTGCGAACGACGACGCGTGTCACAACGCGGCGCCCAGGATATTGACCCAGTTTTCCTGGTGCGCCGGGCACCACCACCGTGTGCCACCCATGAATGTGTCATACGATCATTTCGAGCTGATGCGCCCGCAGCCCCTCCGGAGAGCATGAATTTTTTAAATCGGCCGGCCGCCGCGACTCCGCCGCCGCCTTTTTCGTGACTCGAAATGCGGGCCTCGCCCGGGCTCCCGCGATCGCACCGCCGCGAAAGGAACACCGTTTTATCGTTGGAACTTCGATAAAACGATCGGTTCGAATATTTAGCGAAGCGGGGCTCGCGCGATTTTCGTGAAAAGAAACGGAAGAGAAATAACGAATAATGTGGCTAGAAGTCTGCGATGGGTTGAACATTATTTATGTAAATGTTCATTTTTAGTGATTGTTTGGAGGAAAAATTGCTGTACGGAATTTTAAAGCAAAGCCAAGGATTATTATTTATCTGAATAAAATGTGTAAAATGATGAAATTGATTTCTTATTTATAAATAGAATTTTAATTGTTTATTAATTATCGTTTAATTGCTTATTATATTTCACAAGTTCTTCGATAATAATGAATGGACGTTGATATTTATTACGCGATAAACAAAAAAGAGAATTACTTATCGTCTGCTTTTCAACTAAATTGTAACAATAAATAACCATTCACTTGCAAAATTAATTTACAGAATTTCCATTTTATAATATACAACGAGAAGCGAACGTTATTTACTCGTTTTTCCCCCAAAATCCAAATGAAAAATAACATTTCATTTGCAATAAATTATTTGTAAAGTCATTCAAATAATTCTTGAATCGAATAAAAAGTCTAATTATCACTCGCAAATAAAACATTAATTCACCTTGTATAACTCTGTATTGAATAAATAACGAGTTATTTATTGCTGAAAATAAAATTTTCCCAACTCCGTGCATGCCTGACGTTTTTATCTATCAACACTACCGCGCGAACTTTGGACCCGTCCGTAATTGCAAGTTCGTCTTTTCCAGTGGCTCTCGAGCAAGGAAACGTTTCGTCGCTGGGAAATTTCAGCGGCGAGAAGAAAATGGCGAAGAAGAATCGACGACCTCCGAACCGCCGGAATGTCCCACCGGACCGGCGCCCCCCACCCCCGAACTGCAACGGGACAGCGTTGCATTTGAATAGGATTTCCACGAGGGAGGTGGGTTTTACGACCGCCGGGCGTCTCGGCGTGAAGCGAAGTCTAGGGAAAGAGACTTCGGAAAATTCCACCGGGAATACATCGGATAAATATTGCTGATTCGATTCGATACCTTTTTTTGTTCGATTCACCGGCGGGGGACAGAGGAACAAACCGTAAGAGAAACTCTCGGCCGTGGATAATCGAACTAATCACCGGGGAGGCACCACCGTTGGCATAATTAATTGTCCAACCGGAGCGTAAAGGGGAAAACAAGGATCGGTGTAATCATCACCCACGGCGTGCAATTCGTTTATGCAATTACGTAAATTGATTAGGTAACAAAGCGTTCTATATACCGGCCGCGCGCAGCCAGGAGGATCGAAGTTAATCCGATTCACGGAGTTTAATCCCAGGAACGGCGGCGGCCGTACGCGGCGAAGGTGACGAATTTCAACGCTGGCAGAAAAATTACGTGCCAGCGCGGCGGCACACAGGGGGCACGATTGCGGTTGCGGCGGCTCGGACGCGCAGCGGAGCTGCGCGTGGATCGAATGCCCGCCAAAAATCCGATGCGCGTAAGGCAGCCCGATCGAAACAGCGTCGATATTAACCTTCCTATATCGGCCGCCGATTGACGAGAATCGAGACCCGAAGGCTCTTTATTTCGGGCGTGACCCGATATAGGCGAAAGCCCGCATTAAACATTAACATTGTCGAGTCGGTTGCTTTTTCAACTGCGACATTGAACAATAGAGAGCCGTTAATCGTCCGAACGAGCCGCAACGGACGTTCATAACGCGTATAGAAATTATATCAGCGCGTCCTTCGGCCGCCGAGATTATTGGCTGTGCGTATCGATAACGTGCCGCCGACAAACACATTTTTTCTCTAAGGAATTCGCGCAGAAACGCACTGCCGTTCGAATTTTCCGGGCTCCGAGGGTTTCCCAATTATTCCGAATTTCTTAATTAATTTATTCCGGACCTCGAATTTCATCCTCGACAAATGCATCAATTCACTTCGAAATTACTTCGATTAACCTGAAACACATCGTTCGGTCGCACGGAAGAAAAGACTTCCTGGAAGCCGTTAAGGACGGGATTACGATTTTACGGAATCCGATGCAAGATGGCTACGCGGCGAGCATTCTGATTTTTCCTTTCTCGCCGTGTTACGGAGTCCCCTTTATTGTGCCCCGGGACCGAAGAGGATATTATACCTGAAATTCGAAAGGGACTAGAAAGGGCGTATCCCAAATTTCAGGCAGATGACACGACCCGATTGTTCACCGCTATGAACCACACCTCGTAAATTTCTTCCCCCGGGAGATTACGTTTTCCCGGGTATACCCGAGTCGGTCCGAAGGTCCTGCGCATATATTTTGTGAAAACCGCGCGCGTTCGTGATTTACAATCGGAAAGAAAACTTTCTTGTCTCCTTGGCTGAAGTTCCAATATCTCTAATCACACTGCGAATATTTGTCCCGACAGAGATAAAATGGTAGCCTGAACCGGGAAAGTGTTTTTGTGTTATGACAAAGAAAGAACCGGGAACGGTTTGCACAATTGTCTACGAGTCACAGTATTTCAACATCAGGGTTCGATAGAGATTAAAGCACGTTCGTTTGATAAAGTGAGTGTTTAGGATTAGTCTAGACGATTATTTTCCGAGTGGAGCTGTGATAGAGCTTTCAACGTTTGGAAAGTTCCATGCGAGTCGAGTTCGTCATAGAATTTACCTAGGATTAAATAGACGTTGTCCTAATTACATGAACGGTTGTAGTCGTGAAACATTGTAATTGCGTTAACTGTGAGATTTATCTCTATAGGTACGAATAAATAACTGTGTAACTAAAAACTATGTATGTATCTAAATAAACAATTTGTCTAAGTGACAGTTAAACTTAAAAGCAGCCATGCCGTAACAAACGAATTCGTTATTTTCAGCGATAAGCTACTAATAGCACTAATGCTGGCAAAAGTTAACTGCTCCATTAAGTTCTATTTTTCACCACCTGTCGTTATCCTTTGTTTCTATAGAAGTGACGGACTATTATTATAAAAAGACTTGCTCCGAATTAACAGCTGTAAACCGTTCTTCTGTCATTCGCATAGTATTATCGTAACGCTTTGGAACACATCTTTCAACGCTCCACACCTTCGCTGTGCATATACCACAGGATTTCGGGAGGCAATACAGAGAACATTGCGAATCTGTTCGTTCAATCTGCGTTCATCGATACATTTCAGAAATCGAATGCCACTCCTTTCTACAGTACCGTTTAACACAGTATCGTACAAGTGGAATCCGTAGCGAACAGCAATCGATTGCTTGCTAACGGTGCATAAAGTACATTCGAACGTCTTCTGCGTTTGAATGGAGCCTGAATCGACAGCTGACAATAAGTGCAGGCTTGTACCGACCAAACGGTTGCCTCGAAACTCTCGACAAGTACAATACAATCAATCCTTGCCAATCCATCCATCGGACATATTATTGACACGAACGCTATCCTGAGCCTACAACGTTCCTAAACTATATAATCCAGTCTCATGCAATCAACAAGGATAATCGAACATGCCAACATCGTACTACAGTTAGCTCTCCGGTTCAAACTGGTCACACCTTACTGAACAATTTGTCCGCTGCCAGAGGTGTTTCATGCAGCCTCTGGTGAGCAACACGCTACTACGTTACCCGGTCGTCTAAACAGTGAAAAGAACGATCTCCGGGGCGGTAATTTGGCCGAATACAATGTTTACCGTTCGGCGTGCACATCCGACATCACGATACACATAATCTTGACTGGAGGATCGTCATCACCCGGGGAAAACCGACGGCCACGACGGAACGTTCGTAAAACGTGAAACAGCGTAACGACGGACTACTGTCTGGCAGGACGGCGAAGTGGCGCGTTCTGGTCGACGAGCAGCGTCGCGTTTTCACCAGGTCACAGCGGAGGGACCGCGCAAGCCGTCGGACACACTCGCGACACGCGTACCGCGTAAACATCGAATTCAGCCGGAAGCCGCTAAAATAGAGAGGCAGAAGAATCGCGACAGGAAGGTGTATCTAAAGCGGCAGAGCATCGGGCAGAGAAAGAAGAAGAAGAAAGGAAAAGAAAAAAAAAGGAATAATCCCCCCTACCCTCTTCCTCGGGCAGCCGCTCCATCGCCTTCCCAAGAGTAACCCAGGCACTCGCACGCAGACGCACAGCTCTGCATTCGGAGACGGACAGGCAGGCGAGAGCGAGCAAGCGCGAGGCGGCGAGAGAAAGAGCGCGCGCGGCGGGAGGGGAGACTCGAAGGGTGGGAGGCGTCCTGGCGGAGGAGGCAGAGAACGCGCGCGCGAGAGAGAGAGAGAAAGAGAGAGGGAAGGAAGAAGCGAGAACGGAGGGGAGAAGCCTCGAGAGAGTCGAAAGCTGTTCTAGAGGTTAAGGCACGTCCTACGGTACTCACTGCTGATCTTCATGCCGCCCAGGGGCGGATTCGTGTGCACCTTGTTGCCCTCGGCGAATGAGGTAGTCCTCGGTCGGCCGCTCATCCTGAAATCGTTTTCACCGGCTCCTCCACCTGACACCGAGGTCTGGAGTATGCCGCCTCTGGTTCCGCTGGCCGCCGCCTCGGCTGGCCGTGCCACTTCCTCCTCCTCCTCTTCGCGAACGCCTCACGTGAAGATAGCCAGGAACGCTTTGCCGTCGTCGTCGTGGCCGTCGTCGTCCTCTTCGTCGTTCTCGTCGTTGTTGACACCACCTCGGACATCAATGACAACACGAACGATAATCACATCGCACGCACGCATACACGTCCGCACGGCTCGGTTATTTTATATATTACGCCACGGCCGTGCTCGATCGACGGATCAAGGGAGAGAAAGAGAATGGAGAGAGAGAGAGAGAGAGAGAGAGAGATGGGACTGTGCACGGACAGAAAGAGGAAAAGCGAGAGAGAGAAAGAGAGAGAGAGAGAGAATTGGTGTGAGCGATAGAAAGAGAGAGAAAAGAAGGGCGGGAGGGAGAGTAGGAAGAATAGAAGGGAGGGAAGAGCGAGCAAAGCGCGCGCAAGATCGAGAAAGAAGAAATTACGGAGAACCGTGGTTAGGAACGGTGACGATTAGATGATCAATGGTGACGCCAGAAATGGAAGAAAGGAAGAAGAAACGTTTTTGCGCCGAGAACGATTTTTTTCTTTTTTCCGTACACTCCCGACACTTCCTTCCTACGAGCGATACGCTCTCGTATATACCCGTCGATGGTGGTCGCCTGCTGGCGATGGCAGCGACTCTCTCACGAATCAACGTTTCGTCGCGATGGAACGAAGCGCGCACACCAGGGGTTATACACACCACCTCTGTTCGCACCAGAGGAGCGAGCACGTTTGACCGACAGGCGTTCGTTCGGCTGTACGATATACGTTTCCAACACGATCCTCTCTTTTCTCTTGTCCAAGCGAAATATGTCCACCGGCGGCCCACGATAACCGCGCCGGTGGCGTCCAACTACGCGGCGAATTGACACAATTTACGACAATCTTTCCGTATTGGCCGCCGCTGTCAAGGAGTATATCGCGGACCGAGAGGCGCGCTTCTAACTACCTAATAGCCTGGACGAGGGCGCGGAGCGTCGCGGAGAGCTGTGTCGCCGCGAGGGGCAGCGGGGGCCGACGTTTTCGGAACGGTTCGTACGGTCTCGCGACAGCGGAGGCAGCCACACCACCGCACTCTCGGCTAGCCTTCTTATATAGCGCGACTACGCGACGGTCTGGCTCTGCTCTGTGACGGGTCGGATTTCTTCGTCGTTACCGACCTATGCGCCTCGCCGTCGCCGATGAATTTTGTATCCGTTCGACGACAACGCCTCCGACAATGGTTGTCGGTTGCTTCTTCTCTAGCTCTGCACCGCGGTCACTCGCGCTCCGTTTTTCTTCTGCCCGTTCTTTCCCCTGGCTCTCCGTTTCTCTTTTTCGGCCTAACGGCGCAGTGAGTTCGCCTGTCTCTGTTCGTTCTTTCTTTCCTTCTTCTCCTCCTTTCTCTTCCCCTTGCGCGCTCCGCCGTCTTCCTCTCGCTCTCACTCGCGCTCCCGTACTCTTTTCGGAGGGCGCGGGGGGAAGCGCTACCGCCTCACCTCCTCCACACCGCCGCTCTTTCTCGCCCGCTCGCTCTGTCTCTCTCGGCGTTACGTTGAATCGGTGTTCGCGGTCCTCGTCGCTCTTTCACGCGCTTCACGGGCTCCTCAGGCTCGACGTTGTCGACTTGCCAGGCTTGTGCACAACATTTCGCCGCCGTTGGGCGCTAAGCTACGCAAAGGAAACGACCGGGGGCCCCCCTGACGCCGACATGGACGTCCTTCCTCGTCGCGGACGTCGCCGTCGTCCGTGTCGTCGTTGCTCGAAGGGGAGGTCGTCGTCGCCGCCGCCGTCGTCCGTGTCGTCGTCGTCGTCGTTGTTCCACCTCCGCTTTCGACGGCCGTGAAATCACTATGCGATCGAAACGACGCCTCCGTACCCCAGCGCCGGGCAACGGGTCCAGCCGCGAACTTGTTCTTCCTGACGGTATTAATCCTAGACGATCGACGACTTCTCTTTCCTCGCCGTGCACGGGAACACCACACCAGCTACGAATTTTTCGAAGCCTCCTCAGACATTGACCCGTTCGGGCGAGATCGGGCCACTCGAGTGGCGGCGGACATTGCCGAAAGTGACGTCAGCAACACCCCGCCCTGCCCCTTGCCCAGCGAACGATCCGTGCGGCAAGTGGGATGCCGCGTTCTTTGTAGACCGCCGCGCCATCTTGCGGCTGCTTCGCGCACCGACCCGAGTCACCGGCAAATTCGAACGAGAATTCGACGTCGTTGGCGACGTTGTCGATGCGTGTCAACGAATCGTTACGGAATTTACGTTGAGATATAAAATATATGTTTGTAGTTCGAGTGTTTGTTCGTCTTCGTCGCGGTTGATGAAAAGTCACCGTGGTCTTTCTAACGTTTCATTGGCTGGTCACGCGTCGTTTCTATCTGGTCTACCAATCAGAAAATTCTATGCATTGCCAAACGAATAGTATTGCGATAATATTATTTATTTTTATTTTTATTATTATAAAACACTTCTCGTGTTTTTTTTCTTTCGCTTGTTACACAGGTGTTTTGTGCTTTTGATCAGCAATATTTTCGAATTCGCCGTTCTATTGATATGCGTCGTATTCGGTTTCGAACGATCGCAGCGACATCTACGCTTCCTATGATCGGCGTCGGATTCATTTTCCAGCGCGGCGAAGATGTTGGCGCAGTTACAATTTAATTGCTAGCTTTACGGAGGTATTTACTTTCCTCATTGTCGATCTCCGGTGTATTTTCTGTAATCAGACAAACGCGTTAGCCAATTGTTGATCTGCTTAAATGCCGGTTAAATTTTTTTAGTTCATTTAAAATAATTCTAAATGATAAATAATGCTTTAGGTGAAATATAAAACGGTATAACATTGGGAATATTATTAATTTATTTAAGCAAAATTTTGTATAAGATTGTATTCGTACAGATTTTATGAAACAACAATTATAAATCTTGAAGTCTAATTGCGGTTGTAATTTAATATTAAAGTAATTTAATTTGTAATTTATATTGAATTTGTATATATATAATATATTTGTAATTTATATTGTAATTTGTAATTTAATATTGAAGTAATAAAACTGAACGCAATTGTAATGAAGCGAATTTTTGTCTATATTATTGATGTGAGTCTTGTTGTGCACAGACAAAGAATAAGAGTAAATCTATCATCTTATTAGTCTGCAGATGTTCATGCAATTTATAATAGTTTCGCTATGTAGAATAAAAATTCACACAAATTTCATATCGTTACAGTTATCTTCTTTACCGATCTTGAGATTCGAGACTGATCAGAGCGCCCTCTTCCCGTGGACGTCCGTCGTTTGATGAACTATTCACTCAAGTAGCATTAAAGGATAAGCAAAATAAATAAGTTTATATTCATGTTAATTTCGGTGCTTATTGTGTGCAAATATCTCTCCAACGGTTCGAAAGTTGTAACGGTGTCGTAATTTGTCTCACGATTTACCAATCCGGACCCTTGAACAGGGTTTTCCCGGCTACGGTATACCTGCGCAGGTATACCTGTTGCCGTTGAAACACTATCGACTGCCTGCTTCTGTGGGAGTAGTAGTGTTCTTCCTGGATCCCTTTTGTTTCTTCGAGTGTTCAGAATTCAGAAGGGTTCGTCGATTATATTTTAGTTACGGCTAGCGAACCAACCACAGACACGTTCAGAATTAATGAAATTATTAAAGAATTTCTTTGTAATGACGTGAGAAATTTTAAATGCGTTTTCCTCGAATATCATATTTTTGAAACTGGCTGATATCTCAAGTTCTAATTTGTTCATATTTGTTCTTATAATAATTGATATTTTGAATTTTTATGTTTAAAGTTTAAGAGCATACTGTAATTACAATATAATGTAATATAATGTAATATAATATAACATAGTATAATATAATAATATATAATAATATAATATAGTATAATATAATAATATAATAATATAATATAATATAAATATACATAAATATATACAATGTCTGATCACTTACATTAATTTTATTTGAAAAAGTGACTTAATATTTTATAGGATAATCTGTTCGACTAGTAATGAAAAAGTAGTATAATCTAAACTAGTAATCAAAAATATGGGCGACAAGTAAAATATTTTTAAACAAATGTTGCAGGGTATCGATGATCAGATTTGACGCAAATTTGTATTTGCACTTCAACGAAACAATTTATTCTTACTTGTTGTTATTTCTGGGTATAATCTTCGATTTCTTTCTTTTGTGTAGTAAAATAGGGGTGAGTCACAAATGTCGGCGTGGGACACGAAAAATCCCGTTACCGTTCGACGAGTAACCGTACTTCGAGGGTTTAAAATGTACAAAGTCTCGTCGTAAAGATTAGAAAAGGTTTTACGAGTACAAAGGGCATTCTACGGGCAAAAATTTATTTATGACTCGGGTGTCAGTTGTAGAGAGTATTTTATATTATATTTTATATATTATATATATTATATTTTATATTTTATATATATATTATATATATAATATATAATTAATATAATTATATTTATAATTATTATTAATATAATTATATATATTATATTTTATATTTATTATTTATTTGAGAGTATTTGCCCCCCGAGTGTCAGTGGTCGTCGCCTTCCACCGTAGCCTTGCAGCATTACTTCAAAATATGTAGAATCTACCGTGAAGACAACGAATAAAACGAATTAATTCGTTTCTAATTACGTTAAATCAGCTAAATTTTGTAAAGTGTTAATACTATTGGGTTGGCAACTAAGTAATTGCAGATTTCAGTTATAGATGTCTCTCACTCCCATATAGTATAGTTTTCATAGTTACCGATTGTCGGCAACTATAAAAACGTGATGAAATATTTTATGTTACTGGACAAGCTGTGACTGCAACCAATGTACCGTTCTGTCTATCGCATAGAAATTCAAAGCAGCACAATCTCTTTCACTACACCGAATTTTACCAATACGTGCAGCTGTAACAAAAACCTAAAAAATAACAACAATTACAGAACCGAAACGGAAACCAATATATCTCACACAACAATTCGAAACAGTTGTCTTCGGAACCTCTTCAATCCTCGCCGCAAAATCTCTGTAAATTCCAAAAAAGAAATAACTACTAGTTCAGTCGCTGATAAAATAGTTTCCTGCAGCGGCAGGCGTCGGTACGAGCGGTGCCTGTCGCCCGCCGCGGGCAGAGACCTGCACGACCGACGTCGGCCGGGAGATGCCGCCAGGCCCGTACAGCCATCTGGTGTCGATCCGGCGTAAACAGGATCACGCTGCGAAGAGGCTCCCCACTCTGAATCCTTTGGCAGTCACCAAAGCGCGGGCTAAGGTTCAAGTTGCATTTTAGATGCGAACGAATGCACATCGTTTTCGGTTAGTGGTCGTGCGAGCTAAGTTTCGTGAAACTTTCGAGAGCATCGGTCACGGTGTGATTGGATCCGGTTGTGTGCCAGTTTGTGAGATCCATCGTGGTTGGACTCCCGCGGCCGCGACACCGGTAAGTTCTCTCCAAGGAAAAAAAATGTCAAAGGTTATGATCGTTCGCCGGGCGGTGACGTTTGACAGGTGCGTTGACATCCGGCGCGAGTCAACGGCACGCATCGTCACCGACGATGTTTCTCTTCCCCCACCCCGTCGTTTTTTGGTTACAGTGTGACACGTTATTACGATATTTCGATGGGATTTCCGGCGTGATCGCGTATTATCGGGGCACGCTTTCGCGGTGGACGCACCGCCCCCGTTAAATTGCACGTGGAATTGAAACACGGAGGCGAAGTACATCCGGCATTATGTGTGATTGCTTCAAAGGAGGGCGAATCATGCAANCTCTCACTCCCATATAGTATAGTTTTCATAGTTACCGATTGTCGGCAACTATAAAAACGTGATGAAATATTTTATGTTACTGGACAAGCTGTGACTGCAACCAATGTACCGTTCTGTCTATCGCATAGAAATTCAAAGCAGCACAATCTCTTTCACTACACCGAATTTTACCAATACGTGCAGCTGTAACAAAAACCTAAAAAATAACAACAATTACAGAACCGAAACGGAAACCAATATATCTCACACAACAATTCGAAACAGTTGTCTTCGGAACCTCTTCAATCCTCGCCGCAAAATCTCTGTAAATTCCAAAAAAGAAATAACTACTAGTTCAGTCGCTGATAAAATAGTTTCCTGCAGCGGCAGGCGTCGGTACGAGCGGTGCCTGTCGCCCGCCGCGGGCAGAGACCTGCACGACCGACGTCGGCCGGGAGATGCCGCCAGGCCCGTACAGCCATCTGGTGTCGATCCGGCGTAAACAGGATCACGCTGCGAAGAGGCTCCCCACTCTGAATCCTTTGGCAGTCACCAAAGCGCGGGCTAAGGTTCAAGTTGCATTTTAGATGCGAACGAATGCACATCGTTTTCGGTTAGTGGTCGTGCGAGCTAAGTTTCGTGAAACTTTCGAGAGCATCGGTCACGGTGTGATTGGATCCGGTTGTGTGCCAGTTTGTGAGATCCATCGTGGTTGGACTCCCGCGGCCGCGACACCGGTAAGTTCTCTCCAAGGAAAAAAAATGTCAAAGGTTATGATCGTTCGCCGGGCGGTGACGTTTGACAGGTGCGTTGACATCCGGCGCGAGTCAACGGCACGCATCGTCACCGACGATGTTTCTCTTCCCCCACCCCGTCGTTTTTTGGTTACAGTGTGACACGTTATTACGATATTTCGATGGGATTTCCGGCGTGATCGCGTATTATCGGGGCACGCTTTCGCGGTGGACGCACCGCCCCCGTTAAATTGCACGTGGAATTGAAACACGGAGGCGAAGTACATCCGGCATTATGTGTGATTGCTTCAAAGGAGGGCGAATCATGCAATTCGTATTAACGTTCGCTTTCCTCGGAGACAACGGAAATTAGACCAATGACACGCGTTCCCGAGCTACGTGTGCGTGTACTCTTGTTGTACCGCGTGTCAACGCGCAAACACGACCGCGTGAGATCTTTCTTTCCCGCGTGATTCCAGTTGGCGATCTTAATCCTTTTTCTTAACTCGAAGCCATTTTAACTCCGTAAATCGAAATTAATTTTTCCGACTTATGGTATTTCCATTTTATGCGACAATATAAATATTGATAATATAATATATATATATATATTATATTATCAATACAAATATTTATTATCTAAATATTTAGATAATATTGATTATTATATATCAATATAAATATTTAAATATTATATTGTCGCATATATACATAGATAGATATTATATATTATATATATTATATATAATTTAATATATTTGATAATATAAATATTATTTTGGAACGTGATGTAACAATTTTAGCGGCGCCTCTCGACTGCAAAGGGTTAATTCACTTTTAACGTGACACTGTTAATTAAACCCGCGTGTGATCGATGCGATACCAATGAACAGATTACGTCAGGCTGATTTATGCGATTTTTCATTACCGTTGTTTCTATTTACATAGGCGACCTGTAATTCTTAAGGTAGCACATGCTGTTTTACACGACCGATTGTTAGTTTCTTCCGCCTCTGTTGTTCGCTCTGCGGTATCGCGTCGGACGCGTTGCGAGGATTATAAACATAGCCTTCAAAATGTGGATATATTATATTAATATTAATATTAATATTAATTGTTAATGCAATGTATTATACCAATAGAAGAATTCAATGTTATTTTATTTCTAAAAGAAATTACATTACAAATTATACATATTTATAATTATATGTATGGTATAATTTATAATGTAATTTCTTTTAGAAATGAAATAAAATTTAATTCCTTTATTGTCGATATATCTCTCCCTCACTCAATCTCTCTCTCAATTTCCCTTTCGAATTCTCTCTCTCTCTTTCTCACTTTCTCACAAGCTCAATTTCTCTTCCTCTCCCCCCCCTCTCCCTCTCTCTCTCTCTCTCACTTTCTCACAAGCTCAATTTCTCTCCCTCTCCCCCCCTCTCTCTCTCACTTTCTCACAAGCTCAATTTCTCTCCCCCCCTCTCTCTCTCTTTCTGTGTGTGTGTGTTTGTGTGTGTGTGTCTAGATTTCCATAACTGTTCTTAAATTACATTTTGTACACTTCTGGTCGACTGACAAATAAATAATAACAGCAACAACAACAATTATATTCGTCGTTACGCTTTCAAAATTTAATATAATATATATTATATATATATTATAAAATATAATATTATAACATAATAATAATATATAATATTATTATATTATTATATTATATATTATTATTATATATATATTTATATATAATATATATTATTTTTTATAATAAATACATATTCGACTTCGAAACCGTTTCTTTCTAACCTCTCCCCCCTCATAAATCCAAATAATTACCAGGCCACTTACCTGCAACATCGCGTAACACGAGCCGGAGATTACGCGGCCGCGTCTGCCTGCGATAAACAGGGATAGTTTGTTGTTCCAACGGGGCAACAAGGAAACACGATCCTCGGGCGCATAGGCCACGGTGGACCGTGAGGGGTGGGGGTGGGACGGTGAGACGGCCGGCGCGGCGTCTCCTAATAACCGGGTGTATTTAATTATCCAGGAAAACATCGGCCATTCCGCGCGAATATTATCGCCGTTATAATGTGATAAATTCAAGCCGGGCCCAAGCCGAGCCGAGAGCCGAGAGCCGGCCACGGTTGTTCGCCGGATCGCGAAAGTCACGTATCAGCCGTTAGCTCGCCTCCTACGCGTACGCGCGGCCGCTCGTTAAAAAGGATTAATATAAACGATTACGTTATCAAACCGGCCGGGGTGTGAAAGGTATTATACGGGGACGCGGCCCGTGCGACACAATGTCGCCGAGAAGTTCTCGGCGGCGGCTTTATCCGGCCGCGTTATCTTGCCTCGGCCAAATTGTTTTAGTGACGAAAAGTTCGCCGGAAGTTCGCCGAACGGTGAGAAAGAGAGGGGGGTGGAGGCGACAGGGAACGACTGCGTTAACTGCCTCGCAGAACCGAGCCGAGCTGTACGCGGGACCACGGCCGCGTTAATAGCGCGCCGCGAGAACCCAAGGCAAAGTTTCCGCGGTGCTGGCCGAGCGGGCTCTGGCGGCCGCGTCGAAAAATTAGTAGGCCGAGAGAGAGGGAGGGAGGTGGCGCGCGCATCCGGTTGCTCCCGGCATGTTCCGGCCGACGCGCGAGAACTCGCGGATTATCGCATATTATCGGCCGCGGCCGCGTCCGCAAGGAATCCGTAACGCGAGAGCCGATCCGCCTATAATCCATGAAAGCCGTGCCGACATTAAATTACTGGCCGAATTGATTCGCGTATTCGATCGCCGTATAACCCGGCCGCATTACCGGCCGCAGCAACCGGCGCGCGACGGCGCGATTTATTTGGAAATCGTAACAATGCCGTTTTCATTAAAAGCCGGCCGGCCGGCCGGTCGGTCGCCGGCGAAAGGCCGGTTGCCTACTGTCAATGGGCTGCGCACAACGTACTGCGCAACGCGTACGTGTCCCCACCGCCCCGTGCATACGCCACCGGCGCACGCTGTACAGACGTGCCGTGCTATCTATGCGGGGAAATATGGTTTCGTTACATTGCGACGCGACTGTTTGGACACTGTTCCGCAACCGTTATCGACGTCGCAACGTTCCCGAACAATATATATTGAATTGGCTTCTATGGTGCTTGTGGAAAATCTATCTGAAGTGTGTATATGCAATGACGCCGCGAAGCCTGATACACGCTCTCGCCCAAGATACTGCAACAGCTGTCAGTATTGTCGAACGTCGAGCGCGATTCCACGATGTTTCGAATTCGATTCGTTTCGGGATTTTTTCGACGCAGTCGTGTTTTATGATACGACCTTCTTTTTGGAATTGAGAGAAATAAATGCGATCATTTTGAGCTTCGGGGAATTAATTGAGATGAATTGAATGCGAACGTTCTTCCACTCTAACCTAACTAACAATAGGCTCGGTTTATATAGGCCATCTGTTGGTGTCTTTTCGAAATTGGAATATAATGGAATATAATGGAATAAAATGGAATATAATGGAATATAATGCGAATATAATGGAATATAATGGAATAAAATGCGAATATAATGGAATATAATGGAATTATGATGGAATATAATGGAATAAAATACGAGTATAATGGAATATAATGGAATGAAATACGAATATAATGGAATATAATGGAATAAAATGCGAATATAGTGGAATATAATTGAATATAATGGAATATAATGGAATTATGATGGAATTATGATGGAATATAATGGAATATAATGGAATAAAATGCGAATGTAATGGAATATAATGGAATTATGATGGAATATAATGGAATAAAATACGAGTATAATGGAATATAATGGAATGAAATACGAATATAATGGAATATAATGGAATAAAATGCGAATATAATGGAATATAATGGAATTATGATGGAATATAATGGAATAAAATACGAGTATAATGGAATATAATGGAATGAAATACGAATATAATGGAATATAATGGAATAAAATGCGAATATAATGGAATATAATGGAATTATGATGGAATATAATGGAATAAAATACGAGTATAATGGAATATAATGGAATGAAATACGAATATAATGGAATATAATGGAATAAAATGCGAATATAATGGAATATAATGGAATGAAATACGAATATAATGGAATATAATGGAATAAAATGCGAATATAGTGGAATATAATTGAATATAATGGAATATAATGGAATTATGATGGAATTATGATGGAATATAATGGAATATAATGGAATAAAATGCGAATGTAATGGAATATAATGGAATTATGATGGAATATAATGGAATTATGATGGATTATAATGGAATATAATGGAATGAAATGCGAATATAATGGAATATAATGGAATTATGATGGAATATAATGGAATAAAATACGAGTATAATGGAATATAATGGAATGAAATACGAATATAATGGAATATAATGGAATAAAATACGAGTATAATGGAATATAATGGAATGAAATACGAATATAATGGAATATAATGGAATAAAATGCGAATATAGTGGAATATAATTGAATATAATGGAATATAATGGAATTATGATGGAATTATGATGGAATATAATGGAATATAATGGAATAAAATGCGAATGTAATGGAATATAATGGAATTATGATGGAATATAATGGAATTATGATGGATTATAATGGAATATAATGGAATGAAATGCGAATATAATGGAATATAATGGAACGTAATGGAATATAACGAAATATAATGCTCACATATAAGGCTCACCTTTCCCCTCGCCCGCAATTAATACGTCCAAAATAGTCTCTCGCGCGGCGACTTGATAACGCGCACAAATCAGTGCAACGTGCCCGCTCATATTCCCGCGAAGGAACGCACCGCTCGAACGCTATTATCTTTTCTATCGCATCCCCGGGTCTCTCTATTCCGCGTCGGCTTTATATCCTCTATCGGCCACGTATCACCTACCTACCTACCTACCTACCTCCGATATCTTTTTCCGCGACGA